TGTGGGAAATCATGTTCTGTGTGAAAGGTGGTCCGCTTTGAGAAGGTAAGGTGTTTGCAAGGGCAGCAAGTATCAAAGGAAGGGACTTGGAAGGAACTGGAGAGGAAGGGATGAAGGAGGTTGTCTTTCCAAAGGCACAGATATACGAGTCCTGCTTATACTAAATCCCATGAGAAGTAACTTCTGAATAAATGTACACATGGATGCCTTAGTTTGGCTAATGAGGTGGGTGGGAAGAACTCTATAAAACATGAGTTTACACTTTCCTTGTAGATCTGGACTAAACTCTCTAATGTCCCTTTTTATTTGTTTGACTTGTCTGTGTTAGGAGTAGCTTCACCAATTGTTGTGGAAGGTTTTATTACTGTTGTTGAGAAAATAATTTTTGCAAGCTTGCAATCTTTGTCTTTCATAATCTACCCACCAAACGATTGGTTTATCTTATTAAGACCTGTGCAAAATGTCATTTTAACTTGCTTGACACTGACTATAGGTACACCAAGCACTGTACCTGTGACTGAAGCATGCAACTTTAGGCTCAAATTGCACTGAGCTCTTCTTGCAGGTGCGCCAATGCATTAATACAGCAAGATTTTCCTCCATTTCAGTGGAGGAAGCAGCTCCTTTGCACAAAATGCTCAAATTTGCATTGGTGTGTATATGGGGCTCTTAATTGTGTCGGCTGCATAAAAATAAACAGGAATCCACGGAGGCATCATTTTTTTCCTGAAAAAAGTCTAGGAGGATTTTGAGTTACTTTTGCAACACAGGGAGAAACAATGAAAATACTTAAAGTTCATGTGCTTTTAAAAGTTTTGTATTTATATTTGGTATGATCAGCTTCATATTGTTTCTGAAAAAAATGCATGCTTTCTAAGCTAAGAAGGCTCCTGTGTTTTTGGCAAACAATAGGAAGTGAAGGACAAGCTGTTTTTGGTAACTGTATATAAACTTGTGTTTTGCAGATATTTTGAAAGAAGGAGGTGTTCTCTATCCAGATAGCTTGGCAAAAGAAATTGAAGCAGTTGTGCGCAAACATCGCTCTCCAGCCTACTGTGATCAGTTGCTGCTGCACATTGAATCAACGGGCTGGAGATACTCAGAATCATAAATGCCTTTGTGGGTTGTGACTTCTCATTTGTACCATACAATGTTGACACTTCAGTAAATGGAGAAGTTTCAGCTGCCACATACTGACATTCATGCAGATATAAATAAAAACTCTTACAGGCAAAATATTTTTAACTTTTTTAACAGAAAAAAAACTTGAAAAGACAAATGTGTGAATAAGAGTTACATTGTTTTTCATATTGTTGCAAATCCCACATCTAACATCTCTGCAGTGAACTTTAGACCACTGAATGATGTTACAATGTGTTTCTCAGCTGTGTATTATACAAGTTACCATGCATATTGTAAGATCTGTATGACACAAAATCTCTATGACACACAATGAAGATCTGGAGACATTTAAAGGTTTACCAAGCAGCAGAATTCAAATCTATTTTTGACCTTGGTAGTTTTTTAAAAGTATTGCTATTGGACCTCTCAAGTGTGAAGCATTTAGACCCCAACCTAGACACTCATCACTGCAAGGAGGAGTGGCTGTCTTCATTTGAATTAAGACTGGATGTGTCTGGCCATGACAACATGCATACATTGCGGGAAGAGCAAGAAAGTGCAATCTCCTTTCACTTAAATTTATGTTACCGCATTTCTGGTAATGTAAATACCCAATATCCTGGGCATGTATCATTATACTGCTTTGGATTACTATATGATGAGTGTGTTATTTGAGGAGTCTTAACTATAGATAGGTTTTGGTAAGGAATGAATGAATTATAGATAATAATTAAATTATTTGCATTTCTCTCTGGATATTCATTATAGTTTGGTTTGTTGCAATTTTTCTTTTGTTCCATGTCTAAGTGCCTTTATTAAATGAACCAGTTTTTCCTTTATTGGTTGGGTTGCAAGTAACTGAACTCCCATTGCAAATAACTGATTTCTCATGTTAGCTTACAGTGCCCAGTTTTGGTGACATGTTTAATGTATGTCATTTGGTTTTTTGATACTTTATCATAAAATGCATCACATGTGTCCATATTTGTGTGTGTGTGTGTGTGTGTGTGTGTGTGTGTATGTATGTATAAGTCAAGTGTTTGGCAAAACAGAAAAGAGGCTTAACATTCTACAGTTAAATATATTAGCGTCTGCCTTTGTCAATGACACAGCTGGATTTCAAACCAGACACTAGGAGCCAAAGTCTAAAAATAGTGGAGAAAAGAAGGTGGCATCTACTGTATAAGTACAAAATAAGTTTTAAACAATTCAATGCATCGATTAATGATTGTGCATTATCCTCTAAGATAAGACAATGGGGTGTTAGGGTGTTGAGTCTGTGTATCCAGAAGCTCTCTCTTTTGGTGTCCAAGGATGGGGTAGGTTTTATGTTGGATACATTTCTCTCTCTGTGTGTAAGTAAAAAAATGGTCTAAAAAATGTTCAGCAAAGTCCTTCACTAAAGGCTCCTGAGCAAACAGCATTCATGAGGCAAGGGCATGTGGCCTGTTGTGGATATGAAACTGGTTAAAGAGAGGGAAGACATAATGTTCACAGTTGATGGAAATAAGTAACCCAGAAGCTGTATTTAACTTCTAAATTATCTGAAGCAAGGGATGAGTGATGAGGTAACTAAATACCATATTCACTATCAGAAGGCATGGGCAGGGGAGATGTATTTGCATGGCACCAAAGAGATGTCCACAATGGGGCTAGGCAGACCTCACCATATCATTGTGTGCGGGTATGTATTTATTGTTGAGCCCCACTAGCAAAAATATTTTCAAAGGGCACAATAGCCATTTAATAATTAAATTGGGTTTAATTTATAAACTCCTTTGTGCCTCACCTTTCGCTCCTAGTTATTTTGTTTCTATTTTGGGCTGCCTTTTAGGGCATAGTCCTCACAAGCTACATACAGAAACAAACACAGAAGAAAAGAACAAAAACAAGATTCAAAACAATTATAAAGGAGCGGCTTAAATAAAGATGCCAGAAGCATTCCATAAAAATCGGATGATACTCCCTGCCTGGGCATATTAGCCAAGTTTACAGTGAATAGTATATACTCTGCCTAAAGCAGGGGTCTGCAACCTTTAAGACAAAAAGAGCCACTTGGACCCGTTTCCGAAGAAAAAACAACAACTGGGAGCCGCAAAACCATTGCAACATTTAAAACAAATATATCTCCAGAGCCGCGATTTGACAGCGGGCGGGAAGGTGACGTCGGGACGGTGCGTGACTAACGCACGCACCGCCCCCATGCGACGTCACAGCCAGTACAGCGCCCGCCACAGTGAGGAGTGTCGGGGCGCACAATGCTCCTCCTCCCCTCGCTAGTATCCGCCCCGGAGCCGCGGCAAAGATGTAAAAGAGCCACATGCGGCTCTGGAGCCGCGGGTTGCAGACCCCTGGCCTAAAGGATGCTAAGGAGCCCTGTACCCTAGGGAGATACGGCACTTGACTCAACTGAAACACCAGAAACTTCTTGCTCTTCCCAGCCTTCAACTACAGTAGTCCATTTTAGCAGGTTGTTGCAAAAACTGTTGCCAACTCAGATCTAGTACATCCAAGTTTGCCTTCTCCCCCTCCTCTCTCCCAGTCCCTCTTTCATTTTGTGTCTTCATCTTTTTAGAATTGTAAACCGAAGGTCAGGGACTATCTTTGTAAACTGCAAATCTCTCTTATATTTTTCCAGCTGAAGAACAGGCTTAAAAACAAAACAAAAACCAACCCTTGGAACAAATGCAATCTAAAGGCACCCAGATGTTGTTGGACTCCAGCTCCCATCACCACCAGCTAGTATGACTTGCAGCAGTTCTCAATCTGTGGGTCCCCAGATGATGTTGGACTACAACTCCCATCATTCCTGAGCTCTGGCCTTGCTAGCTAGGGGTGATGGGAGTTGTAGTTCAACATCATCTGGAGACCCACAGGTTGAGAAAGGCTGATTCTTAAGGGATTAATAAGGTCACTGTAGTGCAAGGATACCCAGAGGTTCCCCACCCTCGTGGGCTTCGCTTTATCCTCAACAGGTATTTTTCAGATTAATTTTTTTTGCTGTTTTCACTTTCCATATTTTATTTGGTACTTGGTGTTTCCCCCCCCCTTATGTATTCTACGGTGCCGCAGGGAAGGGTGTAGGGCGGTGTGTGTGTGTGTGTGTGACAAATTATCAGAGAACAATTACTGCCCTACAAGGGCGGTTCATAAAAACCTTTTAGAAAATGCCTGCTCCAAAGGTCTTATTTTACTACACTTGGGATTATATAGCTATATATGAAATTTCATGCATATCAGTCAATATTTTGACCCTCCTCCATGAAAATAGCTGTTTACTTGGCCGTTTTCCTATGTCGTGAAGGCTGAAATTTCAATTCAGTGGAGCACTTACTGTTCCCAACCCTAACCCTGCGGAAAGCCATCTAATTAGACTTTAATTTGATTTTGACATGTTTTTAGGAGGTAATTTAATTATTGTGTGATTTTATATCAATGTTATATATCTGATGATAGCTGCCCTGAGTCCGACTTCAGCCAGGAGGGCAGGATATAAATAAAAGTTGTTTATTATTATTATTCCTTTGTAAGGAAATATGAAATAACAAAAAACCATTTTTTCAGGCAAAAAAAAATCCATGTTGGGGGGTGACAATAAATTTGGGTACCACCTGACCTTCCTACGCCTCTGCCGCGGGGCAATCCCTGCTTCGGAGCTGGAGGTGCGGTTTAGGCACACCTAGAAACGAAGGAAACGGAAAAAAGCACGGCTGAGGAGAAATATCCGTTTTCCCACTGAGCATGTGCAGAGAGCGCTTCTCCTACCCTGACCAACCGCCTCCGTGTAGGAAGAGGAGCGGTGGGCGTGGCTTCCCGCAGCCCAGCCCATTCCTGCGGTTGCCGCCATTTTCGAAAATGAACCGTTGCCCGCGGCCGAAGGGGGCGGGGCGGGGCATGAGGAGCAGAGAGAGGGAGAGAAATCCTGGAGGCCTCTCAGGGAAGCGGCGAGTCCGCCGACGCCTCCCGCCCAGTTCCCCTCAGTCAAGCGAGGCTGGCGGGGGGCGGGCGGGAAACGGACGCGTAGCGGCGCTGCTCCCGTAAAGCAGCGCGAGATCCTCGTCACCTTCCTCAGGTGCGCTGACCCGGCAGCCAGAAGCGGCGTCCTCCCAGGGCGCGTGCGCGTGCGTCTCGTCAGGTAACTAACGGCCGCGCTGAGAGACAGAGCGCGCGCTGCGGTCGAGGCGCCTGGTGGACTCCGTTTCCATTGCTCTTGCTTCTTGCTTCTCTTTTCCTTTCCTTCTCTTCCTCTCTAGCTCGGAAATACATGAAAGGGAAAGAGCAGGCGGCGGTATTATGTTAACGCGGCCCTCTCTCGGTTTCTCGGCGGGATTCATTGCTTGCCGCAGCAGCCGCCGCCTTCATTCGCTTTGGAGTTTCTAGGTTTCTTCACCACAACCGCCACCGCAGCCTCCGTTTTTTTATTGTCGAGGTTGAGAAGGGGAAATCCCCCCCCTCAGTTTAGCGCGAGGATTGTTCGTAGGCCCCCACCCAACACCCTCGCTTCTCCCCCCCTCAATAGGGGGGGCCTCTTCTCTTTGATCCCCCAGGCCACACAAGCAAATCGAGAGAAAGGCGGGGACGGGAGAAATACCTGGTGGCTTCATTCTCACTCCCCTTTGCGCTCCCCTTTTAGATGAACAAATAGTTGCATGCTGCTATTCCAAAACAAAACCCAAAACGAATTATTGCATTGCAGAGGTTGGACTAGATAGATGACCCTTGGAACCCCTTCTACTCAATGATTCATTTTTTTTGGGGGGGGGAACGATCATTCACACACCTACATACAATTTATTGGTTGCTTTTTAAAAAACCAAAGTAGCTTACAACAAACGCGTCCATTGAAACAGGGATAAAATAAAAGGAATAAACAAGGATAAATCCGTTTTCAAAAGGCAGGTTTAAATCATTCCATCCACTGGAGGCTGCAGATAATTAAGAGCTAAAGGCCTTGTGAAACATTTACATGCACATACAATAAAAGATGAGTTTAAAATTTGAAAGGAACAATTCCAAAAATGTATTTTCTTAAATGCTTGCCCAACCCATTGTGGTGGTGTAGTTAAGAGTGTTGGGCCGGCAGACAAGAGTTCAAATCTCCACTCAGCCATGAAGCTCATTGGGTGACCTTGGGCAAATCACTGTCTCTTAGCCTGGCTTACCTCACAGGCTGTTGTGAGAATAAAATGGAGGGCGGAAACTATGTATGCCACCTTGAGCTCCTTTGGATGAAAGATGGAACATAAATCAAATACATAAAAATGCATTAGCTTCCAGCTAGGGCAGGGCTGGGTAGCCTGTGGTTCTCCACATTTTGCTAAAATACCTCTATCCCTAAGGTAGTTTAGCAAGTTAGGGTTTATTAGGGCTGATGGGAGTTGGTATCCAACAACAGTCTGAAGGACCACAGGTTCCCCCTCTAGGATTAAAATAAAAACAGAAAGTAGCCCCTGCTGCTCCATAAGAAGGCTCCAAAAGCTGCAGCCAGGTAATACTTTTAATGGGGCAAACCAAGATGTTGACAAAATGTCGCAATGCCTACCTTGATGGTTTTGTTGTTGCTATCTTATTACATTTATAGTCTGCCTTTCATTCAAGGTAGCATACCAATCAATACCTGGTGTTCAAGTTCCCACCCAGCTGTGAACTTCAATGTGTGTCCTTGAGCCAGTTCCTCCCTCTCAGCCTAACCTACCTTAAAGGGTGGCTGTGCAGAGAGGACCATGTAAGCTGCCCTGCACCACTTGGAGGACAAACTATGAATGTAACCATTTTTTTTTGAAGTGAAATTTTCCCCCTCCTTCCTCTCCCCTCTCTTCACTCCGCCTACTTTTGCTTTCCCATCCAGTCTGAAGAAAACTTATGGAGCATTTGAAAGTTTGTTCCTTGTTTTGGGAGGTTCTGATAAAGGTATGGCCTGCCTGATTTAGGATTAAAACTTCTTAAATGCTTGTTTTCAGTCTGTCTAGTGGTCACCAATACTTTCAGACTTTGGCTTTATATTATCTTTCTTTTTTAAATTATACATAGCTGAAATCTATTTCCTGTGCCGTATTCTATTTCTTCCTGTTTTTAGATTGGTGTTGGAAATATCTTTATTCTGTCAGACATTTTATGGTTGGTTTCTACATTTTCATGCTACCTCTTTGAGTTTCATTGTGATTTTTTTTCTTTGGGCTGGGACTTGTACTCATGTGTCATGTGACTATCAATCAGTGAATAACTAATAGTTTTCCTACTATTTCCTACTTTCCTGCTCCTGGGTATGGTGGAATATGAGCTCACATAAGTTAGTACTCAGTTCAAGGTGCCCTGCATGTCTAATATAAAGGCTGCACAGCTCAGTGGTAGAGCACATGTTTTGCATGCAAAAGGTTACAGGAAGGACTGTAGTTCAGTGGAATAATACCAGCTTTGCATGCAGAAGGTCCCAGGTTCAGTACCAGGCATCTTCATGTAGGACTGGAAAAAGACTCCTACATGAAATCCTGGGGTACTAACTAGTCTGAATGCTTAGCTAGATGAACCAATGATCCGACGTGGTGTAAGGCAGCTTCCTATGACTGCCACTTTTAAAACCACCAGGGAGTGCTCTCAACTGCACTATATATAGACACCAAATCAAAATCTGTAAGGATACACATTAATTGTTTTCTTGGCTACCCCTCAATGTCTGAGGACCCAACTTTCTTAAAGAATGCCTCCCATTCAAACCTGCATGAGTTTTAAGACCCATAGGGAAAGCTCTGCTGGTGGCTCCCAGGCCTAATGAGATTTATGGAGTAGGGAGTAGGGACCCATGGGTGGGCTTTCTTTTCAGTGGCCTCTTGCCTTTGAAATGACTTCCCCTCTGAGGTATGTCTCACTACAACACTGATGTCATTTCATCAGCAGCTGATGACACCTCTTTGTCTAGCCATTTGAGTTTCTGTTGCTGGTGGTGGTTTTATTTGTAACTGAATTCTGTGTTTTGTTTTACATTGTTTTTGTTTTATTTTAATTTTTGTTTTTAACAGCATATATTTCTGACATGGGATGTTTGGTAAATGTTGGGTTATAAATATTTTAATACAGTAATATAAATAAATAACTTTCAGTGAGTTTCTATGGAAAATAATGCTTTAGTGTATTTATTCTGAAAAGTGTATTTATTCTGAAAAACCGTATGAGGATTTAATTTGGTTTTTAGTAGCCAGTGATGGATTCAAGCATATTATCACCCGCCTCAAGACTTGGAATAGGAAGAACTGTGTCCAATAAATACATATGAAAGTTGCTTAAAATAGTGGGCGTTTGACCCAGTTCTGTTAAGTAGCACCCTGATTTTAGTAACTTGTGGTAAAATTGTTTCCTTGCGATTGTTGCTGAGGACAATGTAAGTAAGAAGAAATTAAAGCGACTGATATAAAAATTCACAGTGAGAGAGGTGGTTTTGAACAGGCATGAAGTTTTGGTAGTCATATTTTGTAGTAAAAATAGTTGGATAGCACTTTGCAGGCAGGTAGTTATGTTTTCTTTCTCCAGGAAATTATTAAGTGTATTATATTCAGATTCCCCCCCCCCTCATATGGGAATGTGGCACAGTTAGTCCTATAAGGATAATCCAGGCTCACAAGGCTTTAATAGAGTTCTGATTAGAACAGTAGCAGCTGTGCCTTCTGTCTCTTTGGCAGATAAATGACCTGTCCACAAAAGAGCAACAAACGGCTCTCTGTGCTTTCACTATTTGTGGTACTTTGCTCCAGAGTGGTCTGGGGGTTTGTAACAGACAGCTGGGAAACAAAAAATGGCATGCTTTATTCAAATGAAAAGATGTCCTTCTGCTAGCATTGCAACTGGGTTGGCATCTTGCTGGGCGTTGGTGGTATATTTTTGTCAATAAAGAATTTGATGACAGGTTGCATAAATGCCAGGAAACATATGGTGATGTCTCCAGTACTATTAGTTATTATTGCCATTGCTGCTGTTAACAGTAGTGGATTAATTCTGCAAGGAAGACTTGAATACAACATATTTTGGGGCTTTGCCCCATTGAATGAATGAATGAAACTTTATTTGCGTCAGCCGTCGGCCATAGCAACAAAAATACATTGTGATATACACAGAACAAAATAAATCGTCGATTATAGTAGACCATTGGTATTGGTCTACTATGATTTTTTGTAATGCCCATCTTTCACATTGTCTCTCTGGTTTTAGCATGCTTATGTGGTTCTGAAGTAGAGTTATGGATTTAGTGATATTGTGATCCAGGCTAAAATGGTAAAGATCTTGGCAGTACAGCATGGAACATGATGGTGCCAGCATGGCATTAAGAAATGGAAAATGAAGTGTGCGCATCAGGTTTTGAATGTTGAAACAAGGAAAATTTACCTTGGCAGGCAGGTTTTAAGTGTGCAGTTATGGTGCTAAAGACTATAAATATTCCATTACTAAGTGAGGCTAGACTGATTTATTTACTGCAAACTTTCTCATATTTATATGTGTTTCTCAGTTATCTCTGAAGAAGATGAACATCAACTCTGTCTTCTTAACTAGTCTAAGGGTCATCAGAACTTAAGCAAAAAAATTGAACTGGAAGCCCCTACACACAGGCAACTTAAATATAGATGGTCAAGTGTGATAATTGCACAAGTATACTTCCTTGTGTGCTTCTGTGGTGTACACGTGCAAAGAAACTGCAGCCAAACATAGATTTCCATCATGGTGTACATATAGAAAAATGTGTGTTTATTTAAAAGTGTGACTGTTTATATTGTGGTAACATGCTAATTCCCATCAGAACAAATGTATGTGTTTCGCTCTGAAAAACTGATTGGTCATGGATTCTAGGGGTTGTACACAGCATGTTCATCCAGCAAAATGTATTTGTGTGCAATTATATGGTATGTAGATTGTATATTAAGGCATTTGGAAACAAGTGCTTCGCACTTAAGAATTACATACTGTTGGAAGTATCCTTGCTATAAAAATGGAATCCTAGCACGTTCCACCTATGAATAACTCTGTGGGGGTTTTTTTGGGAGGGGGCAGTACATGTGAGAGAGCTGCTAATTCTTATTACAGTATAAGCTAATTTGAAAATTGAAGGAGCAAAATGTATTTTTCAACTCCAATTTCAATAGTCCATATACA